AGGAGGATGTCAGCAAATGAATTCTGCAATGATTTTCCAACCTAGGGCGTCAATCTGAGAAGGAATGTGGGCCTATTGCTGTAAGTCCTACAATTCTTCGAAGGAATTCCATCAAGATATGAACTTCGAGTTTGTGTGTACTGTTTGTATATACGTGTGGTGTGTCATATCAATTGATGTTTTTTGGATTCATTGTGTTTACTCGTTGTTTTCGAACCTTGTTGTTATTGCGTAATTTTGTTAAAATTTTCGTCGTGATCACTTCTGAAGTTGTTTCTAGTCTTCTACATCCGTGAGTGAATTGATTGATGTTAAGGACAGCAGATGGGTCGTATACACCGGGGAGTCTAGGCTATTGCTGAGAATGAAATGCACACGGAGATAATGATTATCTGTGGTCCCACACGCCGGGAAGTAAGAGTGTAGACGACTGAGGCTCGCATACGTCACCGTTACTAGAACTGAGGCAGAATGAGTGACAAGCGATTGCAGTGGTAACTGGTAGTGAGTAGATGAGAGGATGAGCGTAGAGTATCGTGAGTTGCTGCTATGGTCACGTTGCATTCTGCAAGAGTCATTCTAGCAAGTGGCGATTGTGTTGCAAGATGTCAAGATGATGCCTTTAACTGGAAGACTTAGTTCGTCATTGATGTGTGAGATTGCGCTGTGAGTATGCTTGTGGTGTTTTGGCTTTTCTGTTTGTTTTCCATTTCAGCTCTGTCCGTGTGACCCAGGTTCTCCCAATGGCATCCAAGTCAACGTGTATTGGTCGTGATGGAAACAAGGGGTTGGATCCATTTCTTGCCGGGGGTGTCAATGTAGTTGAAGATTGAACGATCAACTCATGGTTGTTTGCTCAAAACCAACTTCCCCAATTTTCGCGGAGGCATCAATACGACAGTCATCGTCTCATCGGTCGCTGTTCAGAAAGAAGAGTGAAACATCGTCAGAGGTAATACAATGATTTATTATTGTATTATCTGTTTTCAGACCCTAGTTCACTTATTATTTTTAGATGTTGATGTAACAATAAAGAAATGTCAAGCGGCAGATCGGTGTTTGGTTTTTTCGTCCGTTATAACTAAGCGTATCTGAAATTTTCAATGAACAGCGTGGGCCCGAGCGTAACGAGAGCTGTGCATTAACGGTTTTTGGGACGTGATTGACACCCATAAATCCCTAAAGATTTTATACCTCCACTCTGGCTAGTAATACTTTGTAAACTTGTGGAATCAGAACTGCACTCTGAAGCACTAACTCTGTTCTGTGACACTCTATTCAACATGGCTTACCAGTTGCAACTACAGACTTCTTCACCGCACCGTTATCGTCACACAATTCGGAGTCAGACCTGGAGTTTACATATAGCTTATCACTGAACTTGCTCACTGGTTCACAGTTCACCTTTGTATGCGCTTCTTGCAAACGTGTGAAACACAACCGTGTTTGTCTTGCATCTTGCAACTTATCTGTTGAGCATGTACTACGAAACCTGTTACACTCATTAGGTCTATATGCATTACTAGACATCATGGAGCCTTCTCGATATCCACCTCTTTGAGGCCTATTCGTCATCAATGATTGCGTTTTACCCTCAGACTGCTCTATTCTAGGGGTGAGATCTAATAGACTGGCAAACTTGCTCATAGATTGATTGACACTATCTTTTACTAGTTTCAGGATATCATCGAATTTTGGCTCGATACCCTCATCCTCCATACGGGAGCTCATCTTCACCCACTTCCTTTGCAGTCGAGTAGGTAGGCGTCTTGCTATTACTTCTAGTATAAAACTCGAGTTGAGGTCACTCATGCAATTCATAGAAATCAAGGTATTCTTATAAGTCATAAGATTATCTAAAAACTCAGTGAGTGCCTTGGAGTCATCTTGAAGTTGACTGCCGTTACCTTTGACAGCTTCGTATACGTTCCTTACAATCATTGAAGGTCTTCCAAACCTTTGACATAATATACTCATAGCCTCATCGTAGCCCTCTTTCGGCTTCATAAACTTACAGCACTGTATAGCTCTTGCAGCATCTCCAGTGCAATACCTCATCAAATACATTAACTTCAATTCATCAGTTAATAAGAAACCACTCAACATGATCTCAAACTCCTTTACAAATTGTAAATAATCAGCCGAGTTTCCATCGAAACACCGTGGTTCTAATTTAGGGAGTTTGATGTTCCTATTATCCCTGAACGGCGAAACAGTAACATCAACCATGTCATGCTTAACATCAGACACATCGTTACAAATAACAGACAAGTCACCATGACTTACTTTCCTGTTTGCATCCAAGACACTCTGTCCCCTCTTTGACCCAGGCATTGTTGAACTTCACCCAATTCCAAAAACGTTCCAGATATTGCTTGTTCAAAGAGGACTTGACCGGCACCAGGAAAAATGAACGGCGACTATCCAAACTGTTACCAGCTATCTGAATCCGCCAGAATCTGTTTCCACTGTCAGAAACTGTCAGCCACGTCTCGTAAGCCGTCAATGCCCAGCTCTTGCTACGCTGAGACTCACGCTGTTCCTTGAAGTTTCTCAGAAACGCTTAGTAATAATGGACGCAAAAACCAAAACACCGATTGGCTACTCGACGATTCTTCAATGTTACATCAACATATAAATATTGTTATAACTGAGGTCTGTGAACAAATATTACAATAATAAATCACAATATTACTTCTGACAGTTTTGGCTTGACTTCTTTCTGAACAGCGACCGATGAGACGATGACTGTCGTATTGATGCCTCCGCGAAAATTGGGAAAGTTGGTTTTGAGCAAACAACCATGAGTTGATCGTTCAATCTTCATCTACTTTGACAGGTGTAGATCGCATCCGATATACACATGATACCGACGATCAATACGCTTTCTTCTCATAAGGTAAGCCACTGATTTTTGCAGATGACCTAAGCGTAGCCTACATATATCAATGTGGTGACCTAGGCTACTTGCAGATTATTGTGCAGAATGAATCGGATAAAGTAACTGCCTGGTCATCCTTACGGAATTTACATTGCAATATGAACAATTGTGTCTCTATCCACTTTGGTGCATCTAAATCTGTATGAAATTAGCGCTTCAATTCGCTGTCCTGCTCAGACTTGGATGTGTCGTTGACTTGGACCTGGGGTACTCCAGAGACCCAAGATTTTCCGAGCAGGTGGCATCACGGACTCGAAAGTCGATGATGCTTTTAGAATGCATAATCAGGCACTTTCACGACAGTGAAGCCAAACTAATTCTATACAAAACATGTGTACGGCCACTACTAGAATACTGTCGATTTACTATTAGCAGAACTCGCACACGTGAAGATCTGTGGATAGCAAGTATCCAAAGATGTTTCACGTCCAAACTGCTTGGGTATGATTACAAGAAAGGCTACATCTCTCGATGCATATTTCTAAATCTTGACCCACTTTGAACAAGACGACTTATCACAAACCTAGTATTCTTCTTTTAGGTCCTACACAAAATATCATTCTCAGACAATTAGGACATACAATGCTTACCGCAAGGCTCTTACGATCTGCGTAATCAAACTTGCACAGTGACAATAAAAGCTTTCAAATCAACACTCCGCGAGAACTCTACAGCCATGTACTCCAATATATGGGACAGTTTACCCGTAGAAGTCAGAATTTGCACCTCGGTTATAAGTTTCAAACGCTCTCTGTACAGACTGTTTCACTCTATTAATTACATTAACAAACCCTTTATTCCCAGAACAAAACTTTTTCCGAGATTACTATAGTACGTAAAGAATGCTTAAATCTTAACTAGTTGTTCTATTAAGGATAAACAGATTGCCTGAATGAATGTGTAAAAAGACTAAGTAGAGATAAATATGTGTTTGCTAAATGGCGATGTAGAAGGTATGTAAACATGTAGAAATATAGGCGTTGAGGCTTCAACCAAATCCACATACGCTTTTCTTTCCTCTCTAGTACTCTGTTGCTCGCCTCTTCTGTTTGCCTTGCATTCGAAGTTGTACAGATATACAGCATAAATGCAGTTGAAGAGTGCATGCATTAATTCTATAGGGTTGAGTTTTAATTCTTGAACTACGCAATTCCACAGCGTTATTTAATTATAGTACGGTGACGAATGTCTTTGCCCACTTCACTGAGACCCCCTGATTCTTCTTAACTCACCTTTTTGAATACTCATTTATTCACATGTTTACTCATATTTAGTTTTGGATTGTTTGTTTGTTCATTGCCGGTCACTTCCGAAATCATCATAATTGCCCTTAATTTAACTGCTCTACTTTCTTCGTCCACAGTGAATCATCAGCAGCACTACAAACCACTATTCTGACTTAATCACCTTGTCACTCTCATATACATACACCAAGGGTCGGGGAGACAAGTGGCAGGAATGACTGCCACCGAATGTCTGCAGCCACTCCTTCGTCATCTAGTTACCAGTCTAGTCAATACCGAGCCGCACACAGAAAATTACGTAAATTCCGCCATTTTGTGGAGTGACAGTGGACCACGTGGGATACGGAAAATTTCACAACAATACTTAACATGAATAACACTTGTATTTCTTAAGATCCGGAAGCTGATATTGTCCCACAACTTTTTAGATGCTGACGATATTGTCGTTCATGGATTGTACGAAGTATACTTACGCAAGATCTCATACGCACAACTTCCATATCCAAAGCAAAACACAATAGTTGATCGTCCAAATTACGTGCACGAACGTGACACGACGGAGTAGCAAATAGCATGAATGCTTGGCTAGAAACCTTCAGCTTAGGAAGTTGACTAAAATAGTCAGGGTCATCATCCAATGTTCAGTGATAATTGCTGTGGTCAATAATTTTGGTGAATTATTTATCACTTCAAATTGTTTGACTAAATGTATGTGCATAAATTGTCCGATGAACAACCACAAGGTCATAACGCTCAAGGTCTCTTGAGCCCTTATGTTTAACATATACAGGAAGTGACATTGGGAATTAAAATTAATGTTTGAGGATAAGCCTACTGGTTTTCAGTTGCCGGATATATGGAATGATGATGATGCGATGTATTCTCTAATGCAACCAATACGGCGCTCAAAGCTTGTGGATCCCATTAATTATAACACAAAAATCACGTTTTGGAAAAGGACGTTACTGTCGTATGCCAAAAGTCAGAAAGCCTATGTTGTGTGTATTAATTCACTGCAAAAACTGTTTACTCGGCATTTTCCTGTCGAAGGTGTAGATTTGTTTCCACAGTCTCTTGGTGAAGTAATTACAGAGATGGAATCAGAAGGCCTATTAGAGCCAGTCGTACCTCCTAGAAGTATTATAGGAAACATTTTCACAGCTTTATCATATGTCGTACACCAGCCAGCCCTGTGGGCATATCAATACTTAAGTGGGTTAGTTATTTTTTTCTTATATTGCATAAATTGACACGTCTTCAGGTTATGTTTACTTCAAGTTCCTTTTTCTAGAGGAGTTTCCTTGAGAAGGTTAACGCAGACAATTACGTAATATGATGTCTTTAAGCTTGTTTTGGTCGGCTCACCTTAAAAATGCAGCTTATACTGGAAATTCCTGTGATGAATTAGTTTGCTATCACTCCATAGTTTAGCATAGCAGATCAAATAACCTGTTTTGAAGCTAACTGTATGTATTTCTGTTAATATTCAGTTTGTTCTTAAAGACATTCGCCGAATAAGTAACAGCCAATAAGGCTGTAGGCGGACTTAGGCGACCGACTAATCAGTAACGGAATATAATTCTCAGACAGTTAATTAGAGGAACTGGTGTATGATGTGCCCTCAGGGTTGTCATTAAAGGGGTTGAAGTATTAAAAAAGTCAATACCCCTGTCTCCACGCAGGATAATTTTCTATATGACAGTATAAAGAGGCATAGACTTCCTATTATCATTTCATAAAAGAGGTGTGACATTCCTTCCAACAACGAGCCTTCTCTATTTAACCATCCCTCTTTCTTTGGCTTCTGCGAATTCAGGATAAAGTCCTCAATAGGTTGGATGTAGTATCGTAAAAGTACTATTATCAAGATGTCTAAATGAATCAAGAAGCCACTCTAGATTTTAAATTCTGTGTCTTAAATGTCTTTGCCGTGTGTTATTATTATCTAGTTGTGAGTACCAGAAATTGATTCTTTGCTTCCGTAACATAAGGCACTTTTGCTGAAGTTAATTTCCAGCCTCTTACTATTCAGTCAATCAGTTTGACTAACTCAAATTACTAACTTATATTATCATGAATGGCCATTTAAACCGTATTGTAATCTGTAAACACCAAGGATTATAACTGAAGCACTCTCGTTTTCCACTAATGGAAAGACTTCCTAGTGTGGTACCCTAAGGAATCCCACCGGTAGCTAGTTAACACTTATTCAGAACCAATTTTTTCCATCTATCATGTATATAGTCTAAACCATTTTGCATGTCAGCATCTATACCAAAACATGTTAGCTTCCTAAATAAGCTTCAGTGGGACACTATCAATGTCTGTCGTCACTAGCCTATACCCACTTCTATATTGATTTCGTCAGACAACCTTCTGGGCGTTGTTGTGCTGTTGTCATTTGCTCAGTTACACGAACTTAAGTTCTAAAGGATGCACCACTTACGGCTAATGTGGGTTTGATTACTAGCTATTCGTGCCAAAATACTCTGCACTCCTACAGTGAAAAACATCAATCATACGTACAGATGCTAGTAATCAATTAGTAAAGTGAAGTTTAAGTTAAATTATATATGTCCAAACCAAGTTCACTTTTAACGGTTTGAAAAAATTTGGGCATTGGGTATATGATATTCATTATAATAAAGGTTTTTGTATTTCCCAATGAATGAAAAACAAAACGATATTGTTTTTACTGACGTTTCGCTATTTAATACTAATAGCTTTCTCAAAGTATTATTAAACCGGAATTTAAAAAATCTCAGCATATATATAGCAAAGAGTTAAGGGGTGAGAAAAATAGACTTAGTTCAACTTAAAAGGACATATTGAGAGTCAAAATAACAATGAAGATCACTAAAACCCAATATCAAAGGTAATAGTATGTCTGTTATTATATCAAAACAAAGTTTACTAACTTGATCATCGTTCGTTAGTCTGGGGTCATTTTTAGTTGTCAAGTTGGGGAATTGGTAAAGATAACAAGACTAAGTGTAGATTGTGAAATGCTTAATCATCGTTCGTCAAGCATACAAAAACCTTTATTATAAAGTTTAAGTTTAAGAAAATGGTCTGCTTTGGAAGGTATAGAGCTTAGAACAAGATATAGAGGTAAATGATGCAGAAACCCTTGTATCTTATTGTTAGGCTAAGCATTCGTATTATCTGAAAAATCTACTCTAAGACTGAATATCTTAGTAACTTCAAACAAAAGATATATATAGTTCAAATGGTTCGTCAAAGTTTGTTTCTTAAAGTGAAAATCTTTTATTTGGCTACAGCTGACATGCTACTACAAGATACACAAAACGAGTTAACTAGTGTCTTTAACGCCTCATTAGTTAAAAGCGCAGTCGAACTCATTTCTATAGTTTCGTATCCCTTGGTAGTGGGAGAAACAACCAAATGTTTTGGTTCCGTCCATGGGTGTTTGGAAGCATATAACTGTATGATAGAATAAATAAAAGACTTGTTTAATTGGTGAAGCTTTATCTTAGTTGGTAAATGCTGGAGCTAGATTAACTTATATCAAACTTTGTGATATGTCAGCGATGATTCGACGTTCATGAAGCCGGCTCATCCTCCCGTAGGAGATAGCCGAAGTAAAGTAAGTAAGTAAGATATGTCATGTTCTTTATAATCTGCTAAAGGTGTCATTGACTTTTCATAAGTTTAGCGTAAACTATGAGAATTACTTTGACCTGGTGTACAACAGGTTATTAACGTAATAGCACAGTTTGCATCCCTACTTCTTTGTCTGCTTCATGTCAATGACAAATTAACATTCAGATGTTTTATCTGTGAGGATTTAATATCCATTACAATAATAATTAGTAGTAGTTATTTCTTATCTGTATGAAACGCTTCTCATATCCAGTTATTTTGTTATTTCAATCAGCTGATTTCCATTCTACTTAATATACCTCATCACTATCTCATAACATTTTACTCCAGAACTGACAGTCACATGTTTATTTTTGTGAATAAGGGATTATCGTCAATATTTTTTGAAATAATCCTTTTAAATGTTCGATAAAATTACATGCAATATTGTAGATAAGTACTGAAAATTCCACACTGTACCACTAGTACTGTTTTTGGAATAAGGCAAATTATTGTTATTAATATTGTTTGTATTTAGTTTAATGCAAAACCAACAATAAACTGAATAGTGTCTTCATTTGTTTCCAGTTGATTATATTTTTATCTACCTACAATACCTACTCTTATGTCATACTAATATTTTTAATGTATCTTTAACAATGAATGTTGTATAGCCTATATCATGAATTTTTGTTTCCAGTGTGTTCTTTTAAGAATACACTAAAAATAACTATTTTTAGCCCAAATTATTTTTGAAAAATGTCTAATATTGTTTATTGCTTATTTCAAAAATTCAAACAGATTGATCCTTTTTCATCCTTGCTTAAAGGCTACTTGGTTGTTTTGTAAGGTAGTTATTTTTATATTAGGCACGTAAGATAGAAGTGCACATGGAAAACAGACTGAATTTTACTTTTCATTCCAAAATGTAAAGACGATAGCAAAATTTGAATAGTACTAAGGATTGTTTTTTGGCCGTATTAAAAGTTTGATCAATCGTTATTTTTTCTTCGCGTTTTCTTCTTTTTGCATACACGCAGGGTAAATGTATGCATATTGCTTTCTTCTTATGATCTACTCACTGTGGTATATCATGTGCTTCATTACGAAGTTTGTCCCCTGGGCTCTGTGATCACAAATAACGATGAGAGCCATAGAAACACCCCATATAGCCTTTTAAAGCCGCGTCGCCAACTTCATATAGGAGCACTTAACGTCAGGACCCTCTGCCAAATCGGACAATAGGCATCACTAGCAAGAACTCTGGGATCTTGAGCCATGGATGTATGTTGTGTTTCGGTGACATGCATACAAGACCCGAGTGTGGTCATTCACTTAACCTCACCCGGTCAACAAAGTGAATCTGCAAAATTCACTTTAAGGGTATCAGGAGACCCCTCAGCCAGCTCGCGGGGACTCGCAGGTGTAGTAATAGCACTGAGTGTTAGGGTGGAAAAGTCACTTCTTGACTGGATCCCAGTAGATAGTCGTATGTGTGCGGTCCGTCTGAATGGGTCCGTTAAAAGAAGGAAAGACGATGCTACCCGTCGTTGCCTTTTCGTAGTCTCCGCTTACGCCCCAACAGACTGCAGTTCAGATAAAAAAGGATGATTTCTATCGGAGACCATCTAGTCTGCTGCAAAATGCAAAACGCTTAGACATAGTTGTTTTAGCAGGCGACTTCAATGCCCAAGTAGGGAAGTTATTCCAGACTGAAAAGTATGTAGGTGGTACGTGGAGTTCCCTGCCGACGAACCGACAACAGTGATCGTCTTCTACAGTTCTGTTCGGATAATCCTACTCAACGCTAACTTTAGGCGCAAAGAGAGACACTGCGTAACCCGACCTCCATCACCAAATCAATGCTGGACTCAGATAGGTCACGTAGCAATAGTGTATCGTTGGCGAGGGTCTGCAAAAGACTGCTGCTCCTTTTGGAACACGTGCGTAGATCCCGATCACACTGTGGCCCGCATGCGTTTATGCTTACAGCTAAATGGGCAGAAGAAATTGCTGGCAGCTAAACAGTTACGTCCCCAACTAGATCGAGACACTGAGTCCCTATTTAAGGAAGAAGTAGCTAAACGTGTATCTGAGGTCGACAGCAGAACTGCTTCTGAGGTAGCCTGGTACAACATACAGTTAGCTGTAAAAGGTGTTAATAACCTAAAAACCAAAAGTTTGTAAAAGCCATTGGATCTCTACCGCCTCATCCGAATAGATTGACGCAAGAAGACTGATTCCGGCGAGTTCCGACTATGATGAGTGAGATAATGGCTGCTTTGTCATGGTTGAGTTTAGCATTACCGTCCTGAAGTTACTGTTTGTTTGAGCCACATATGACAATATAGCACACACATTGCGATTATCATATTGGAGTAATCATTATTTCGAGAGTCCAGGTTCCTTATTTCATTATTAATCTCAGAAATGTAGGTATACTAGATACAGTCTTATTAATATACCTTGTGCTGTGTCTGCATAAAACTCTTATTTTCACTTTAATACTACGTTTTTACTGGTTTCTTCATGTCCTGTTAAGAGATGCAGTGACTTATGATAATTCAGTTACGTTTGAAGCTCTATTTTTTTCTCTCTGTCTCACATGTGATCTGTTATTTTGTTTGACTGGAAATACTATAATCTGTCAGGAATGACTTGCTTTTTAATATTTTCGCTTGAATCACAGATAAGTCTTCCAGTATATTTAATAGTCCGATGATCATCTCTCTATGTTAGTTACTGCGAATGCCTACAAGTATTTTAACCCTAATATTATATGGAGTTTTTATTTAGCATCACGTTCGTTGTTTACACTAAAATTGCTTCAAACAGTTATCGTGTGTACCGCTGTTTTCGTATTTTCCAGGCAGCAGTCCTCTAGTAAAACAGAATCTGATATGTTGGATCAGCAGTTTGTGTTAACTGAGCTCGCTGAAAGTTCTGCAGCGGATTTCATGTCTTGGTTCCATGAAAATTACTGTGATCAGAGGTTGTTACCCCATTCTCCTGTTTATGATCTAGACGTTTTCAATTCAGCTCTATCACGCTTTTACTCACATACTGCCACTCGTGAATATATATGGAACTTGTTGAAGAACATCAAACGCTGTGTTTCCGTTGAAATAACTTCAACTGAAAACGCTAAGCCGATTCAAGTACGTTTGTTATCCGTTTTGTAACGATCGCTCAAACATATTGAAACTTCAAAAATAATTTGATAATTCTGTTTGTAAAATCATGACCAAAAGATTCAGTATAGAGTGTTCAACGAATATAGACGTTAGATTATTATTATTATTATTATTATTATATCCTTTAATTCCTAGAGGAACATAGGGTTTCAGCTGCGCACCTCCATTACCTTCTGTTTTCTGACAACTTTTTCACTTCGCTCCAAGTCTGCCCACATGCTTTCATCTCCTCCTCACATGACCTTCTCCAAGTCACCCTCACACTGACGACCAACTCGCCGCTTCCCTTTCGGGTTCCACTGGAGAGATAGCTTGTCTAGTGATGTCACTTGATGGTTTCCTCAGAGTATGGCCAATCCATCTCCATTTCTTCCTGCCTATTTGTTTCGCAATCGGTTCCTGCACTGTTGGTTCGCTCATTGCCAGAGATCCCTGTTGCTGATCTCTTCTGGCCGGCCATCTGATCTTGAGTATTGAGCGAAGACAACTGTTAATGAAGGTCTGTGGTTTGTTTGAGGTGCTCTTTATGACGCGCCAAGTCTCTGATCCGTATAGTGAGTAGCACTGACTGACTTCACATTGGAGTTGAAAATCTGGATCTTATTTTTGATGCTGGGTACTGTTGACCTCCAAACAGATTTGAGGGTAATGAAAGCCTGTCGTGCTTTTCCGATTCTGGCTTTGATATCCTCGTCAGTTCCACCTGTAGTTGAAACGATGCTTCCCAGGTAGGTAAAGGTTGTTTCTTTCAGGTTCCTCCCATTTATGCTGATTGTTGTCTGTTGTTGTTGCTGTTGATGTTGGCCAAGAATCTTCATCACCTCTGTTTTATCTATGTTCACTTGAAGTCCAATCTTTAACGCTTCTTCTATTGCCAGCTTGTTGCTTTTCACTTACATATCTTCCAGTTTGTGGGAAATCAGACATATATCATCGGCGAAGTCCAGATCCTCCAAGTTTTTTGTGTGAGTCCATTTTATGCCTGTTTCCTCATTGGCCGTTGTCTGTCTCATTATCCAGTCTACTGCAATCAGGAAGATCATTGGCGATAATAGACAACCTTGCCTCACTCCCGTCCTCACTTCGAAGGCTTCCGTAAGTTTCCCGTTGTGGATTACTTGGCATGCAGCATTGTCGTATAACTGTTGGATTAGATGTATAATTGTCGATGGGACCCCGTAGTAGCGAAGTAGTTGCCGAATCACCTCTCGATCGACGCTGTCGAAGGCCTTTTCAAAGTCGACGAAGTTGAGTGAGGTAGAGAGGTGACTGCCATTCCAAGCTTTGTTCAGTGATGATCCGTAGAGTGGCGATTTGATCAATACATGTCTTGTTTCTCCTGAATCCGGCCTGTTCCGGCCGAAGTTTTTTATCTAGGGCTTGTTTGATTCTCTCCAGGATGATGTGGCTTAGTATTTTGCTTGGGATGGACAGGAGCATAATTCCACGCCAGGTTTTGCATTGACTTAAGTCTCCTCTCTTTGGTAGTTTGAATAAGTATCCGTTCTTCCAATCCTCAGGTACTTTGCCCTCTTTCCACACCTTCTCCAGCAGTGGCGTCATCAACTCCGCTGTTGTCTCTGGGTCTATTTTCAAGACTTCTGCTAGGATTCCATCTGGTCCTGCTGCTTTCCCAGCTTTTAGCATCTTGATTGCATCCTGGACTTCTGATTCTGTCGGGGGGTCAATGTTCACTGGTAGTTCTGCTTCCGTTGTTGGTATTGTTAGGCGTGTTGTAGGTGGCGGACGATTTAGAAGTCTTTTGAAGTGTTCAGCCCAGTGTTTTCTTTGTTCCACCTCTTTGGTGATTGACTTTCCATTGTCGTCCTTTATTGGCTTAATCTGTGTCGAACTTTTGCCCGAAAGGTGCCTAGTTGTTTGGTAGAGTGTGGCGAGGTCTCCTTTGCCTGCAGCTTGTTCTGCTTCGTTTGCCATGGTTTCATAATATTTTCTTTTGTCTTCCTTGGCACTCTTCTTCACTCTTTTGTTCAGTGTATATTCTAGCTTGCATTCAGCTCCTGTTTATGGTGCTCGTCAGTGCACTGGATAATCTTTTGTTTCACTGTCCTTCTCTCTTCTATTAGTTTCCAAGTGTCCGTAGTGAGAAACAAAAAAGCCCGGAGCCACTTGAACTCAGTAAATAAACATTACGTGATACAGACAATGGAGTCATAGTCATATGAGAGAAATTAGGAGACCAGACTTGAATTTACCCACTCGGCCGTACCAGAACATTTATGGAAGTTAGAATAGGCACTAGTGGCGAAAAATTTAATATTTCAGCACACTGAGAAATATTTCTTTGAAATATAATATGTGAAATTTTCTCTCATAAAGTTATGTCAAATTGTTGATTTCCATGCAGCCCGATTTTATATGTAAAATAGAACAAAAGAGTAACTGCATTCATTTAACCGTAAGTGACAGAAAATAAAAATGTTCTGTGTAAGTTACTAACAAAATACTTTTATTTTAACAGATTGTTCGCGTTGGTGAAAATATAAATACTCGACCAGCTAAACCACCCAACTCCGAAACTGCAAAGATGGAATCATCTGTATTGAGTGGGATTATCCAACTTAAAACTACAATTGGGCAACTCGAAAATGAGGAGGAACGGTTGGAAACTACAATTGAACAGAATCGTGCTCAGATCAAATCTCTATTAATGAATAAGAAGTATGTACATGTCTGTTCCTTTCTGTTAGTCCTATATTATGGCTTTTCTCAATTGAACTCCGTTATATTTACACCTGCTTATTTCTTCCACAGGAATTTAGAAGCAAAGTCTTTGTTAAGACGTACCAAAGTATTAGAAAAGTCTTTAAATCAAAAGCAAACGCAACTCAATAATCTTGAGAAAATGTTGTTAGATATACAATCTGCAGCGGAAAATAGAAATATTGTACGCGTTCTGGGTAGTGTTAATGAAGCACTTAAGCTAGCAGTTGGAGGATCTGATGCTCTAAATAAAGCGGAAGATATTGTTAGTGATGTAATGGAAAGTATTCATGAAAGTCAGGAGGTAAGTGTGTTTTGTAGTAACCGTTTTTAATCAGAATGAGCAACTTTATTTCGGTACTTTATAAACTGTGTTATTTTTGTTCCACTTTTTGTTGTCATGATATGGTTATATAAATGGCGTTTTGCCTATTTGCAAAGGATTTCTTCACAATTAATGAGTCACTACTTCTGTCGTAAAAGGACGTGATAACTTCCTAAGACGTTTTGGATGAAAGAAATCGTGATTCCTTGATTTACTGCTGATGAGTTTTGTTGATTATTTTCTCAAGTATTGTAGTAAAACTTTTAAGATACAATTTTTCTTGTCCTGCAGTAAGTTCATACTCTATTAAGTATCTTTATCGCCAATTGTAACGCACTATTCGCTATGTCTCATCCTTCAGTCAACATAATTTCTCACCATTTCCTTTGATGATAACGATGATGACTGTTTCCAGAAAGCCAGGTTGATTGTTTTTTGTTTTTTTTTCTAATGCTATAAGGCTTTGTATTCAATCGTATTTTCATTCTTTCCCTTCTTGATAATAATTGAAGCATAATTCATATAAGGAACCTATAATTGTCTCTTGATCAGAAATAAGATATATTTTCAGTCCTCAATCATATAAGTGTATTCAATAGAACTAAACAAAAAAAGGAGGCAAAGAATTGATCTTGGTTTTCAAGTAATAGGCAAACAACAATGAAAAGAGGTAAGAGATTGCTTATTTAACAAACTTCAGAGCACGAAAAAAATGTAACAAACCGCAGTCTCTATCAATCAAGTATTGCGAACCTGTACTTAAGGCATTCTGGAGGGTTTATTTCCCTTTCTCTCATTACTCTTATTATCCATCGCTTCCCGTTGTTTCCCTTTACTCTCTCCCTCTCTCTGCAATCATTAGTGGTCAAATTCTAACCGTTGTCATTTTTGTCAGTGTGTACTACAAAAATGCGTTGTTTCCAGATAGTGCACATCTCAACAAATTTGTAAAGTACGAATAGTTCTCACCATTATTGTTGTAAAATGTTTTATTCTGACTTTTGTGGGTGAAGGTAGTAATCAGCCTTTGGCTAGTGATCTTAAATTTGCTATGTGTTTAATTCTATTCTTCTACAGTTTTATCACACTGCCGACGCGTTTAGGAGCTCTTATATTTCCATGTCTGTTGTAAAACACTGATTATTAATCAGGGTAATTGAGTACCGCACACTTTTGTCTTTGCTATGAACCATACAGTAACCAAACTGTGTAAAGTCGTTCAACCTCATCAGAGGCGAACAGACAAACAATATCCAGCAAGAGTAGATCAGTGAGCTATTGGATTTGTAACTCTAACTGTTTGACAATTAAGCAGTAATTTCTTCGATATAACAAAATACTATTGAATTAAGGAAGCAGTAGCATGTGATAAAATATGACAAATAAAGTATGAGCATGCACTACTCTGGGCGATTGATTTTTACCAACTGTTTTATTTGAAAAGATGAATAATCTAGTTAATTTTTATTTACTTTCATAATAATCATTTATTTTTAAAGGTGTATTTACTAAGTTTCGTAATCACCACGAGGATACCCTTAACGTGTACTATCTGTAATATGCAAAAGAAAGCATGTATGAGAATGTTAATTCATCACCGTCTTAAATTTATTTGTTTATCGTTGTAGATTTCGGATGCTCTTAGCTCTTATAGACATAATTCTCTCAATCTGGAAGACATGAGTGATTTGGAACAGGAGCTGAATGATTTTCTTAGTCCACCGAAGAAACCTTTGTCTCCAGAAAAAAGACAGCGCCCCAATTATGATGATTTAGAAGCTGAACTCGCTTCTCTCACATTATCGACAGATATAATATCATCACTGCCAAATCCGAATTCACCTTCAACTAAAAAGAATCCTGTTCTATTGGATGGTTAAAGAACTTAATAAACACAATGCGTTTAACTTTCACCTTTGAGCTTTCAAACCTCGTAAATTTCAGTGAACTGAAAACATAATTCAAACTTCTCTTCATGTACACTTGTTTTGCGATCTTTTTCATATACATATATATCTTGTTATTTTTTTTCTCTTTAAAATGTACTTTTTCATATTGGCTTACTTTGTTTTATTGATATGGATTTGTGGCTCATTGGCTGGAGCGCTTGGTTCCGATGAGTAACGGGTTCGATTCCCACTCCATCTACATTAGCCAGCGCAACTGGGTATTATCTTCTACCCTTACACAGTGACTGTATCTTTTAGCTTGATGCATGTAAAGTCTGTTTTGGGTAACTGAATACAAACAGTTTCATTCAAAAAATTAGTCAGCATTTGCAATCATCTTAGGAGTCTTACCAGTGCACAGGTCTCTATTAATTATGTATGAATCTTTAAGAAATAGACGACTCTGATATGACACACAATTCACTCTAAGTAAATTATATATATATATATATATATATATATATATATGATTGTGCTGAGATAAAAAAATGCCTCAGTAAAGTATCACAGGTAATATAACTATTCTTCTAGGTGTAGCTGTAGCAAATAGGTGAAAAAACTGTTGGTAACTCCTGTTATGCTCTATATCTTTCACTTTGTGTTAGCAGTATGAGAATAAGCTTGTTCTATTCATGTTGACGGAAAGTCAAAAAACCGAGATTCAACTGCAACGGTCGAAGACGAAGACATGATAAAAGGATGTGTATTTGGCTATCGGTATCTCTATAGAGCCAAATTATGTATACCTCATCTTCAACGCACCATCTGCACAGATCTTGGTGTTGTGGCACTTCTGGACTTCATGTTGTGTTCTTTTCACGTCTCCGATGTATCTTCACAACGCTGTACCATTTGCCTCCTTATAAATCATGTGTATCTCCATGCTGTTTGGTATTTTTATTTTGATCACTCTTTTTATATACTACTGATAAATTTCATAAGTAGCACTCGCCACACTAGTATACTGTTGTATTTTTCCACTATAAGGGAAAGGAGTCAGAAAATGTAGTCCTGATGCAATATACTTTTCACTTCGCCCTACGGATTTATCTCTTTAATAATAAGACTTTCTAGGAGAAGGTGGGATTCAGTATTACTTAATACACATGGGCATGCTGAATGCAACCGGTTTCTAATAGATATACTCAACACTTAAGTATGCTAATAACTACTGACCTCGTGGTTCTATTCTGAATTTTTATTACCTCCTATTTCACCGGAGTAATCTGCACTAATTGTACGAATTCATGGAAAAGCACAGCATTCTAGACAATATATCACTGTCCGTTCGTTTTGTACTATCTATCCATAAACTTCACTAATCACACATCCATTATCCTGGGGCTGTGGGTCTATGTGGTCATTGTAAGACAATGACACTGATCTCCAGTGTATTCAGTTGGCCTGGATTGTGGTGATAAACGCTTCACACTTCCAGTATCCAGTGATTTGACAATCATCTTTAGATTTTTCCTACTTACCTACTGTATTTTAGCCAAAGTTAAAGGTTGTCTACACTTTTTGTCTTCCTAAACGCCAAACAGTGAGATAAAAATTATCATCGTGGGTAAATTTTTAATGCACTACCTACAGTTTGTGAAAATAACACAATAAGGATTTACCTAAATTGTATGGGATATGATATATCATCGGAAAGACTTTTAGAAAATAGTGCTGATAAGTTATCCTAAAATAATTCACCAGTATCGGCATATCAGAGGAGTGATAATTAACGAAGAAAAATTTGGGCAAAAATTATTATCATCATATACTATATAGTAATTAGGCCAACAATTTAAAAATAGAAATAATTACACCGCAAATTCTTGCAATATAATACAGAGATTGTGTGGTAAAGAATTAGCGATTTAGTCAATTGAGCATACTAATTAAAAATGATGCTAAGTTAAAAGTACTAAAAAGCTGTATTTATCAAAGGAGGAATGGTTATTTTTATAGTGACGTATGCTAGTTTATGTGGTTGGCCAATTCAGAGGAAGTGTCTATAGGGATTTCTTTCGTAAACGCAGACTTGGCTTATTTAGTTAGCTCTCAATGGTTCCTGATACATATAAAAACTGCATTCATGAGGTGAAATTAAGGCTAACTGAAGTGCGACAAACAACCTTGAAAGCTTTGTTCATGTATCAGTTGTGTTGTAACTGGGTCTACAGTAATCGATAAACTAATAAATACACTAGATGGAAGCAAAATTGCATAGATTACATTTGTTATAAAACGACAGCATAATAATTCAGTAAATATTTCCTCTATATAAGTCTTTAAAAGTTTTGTTACAACCTCATCTGTAAAGTTTTCAAAAAATTGCAGTTCGAAGGAAACCGGTTGTTAACAGGCTTTCTTAAGTGACAACTTTTCATTTTCCCCAAGAAACATCTTTGGATATCCATTTTTCTGGATAGTTCGTCACCGAGGGGGCCATTTCACTCTAGGTGGGTGAATCGAATGCTATAGACAGCGTTTGTTTGCCGAAGGTAAAAAACACAAAAATGGATATGCCATAAAATTGCATGTAACCTTCCAACTATTCTTGTATCTCTCCATTCAAATTTAAGGCATAACCATGAAATACTGTCATTACAGTCTCCCTTGAAGTTAAAATTAGTTGCCGTTGTGTCATTCCCGTTTTCGAGTCAGAAATGTATAATCTACGTAAAGGTGGTAGACTTCAAATTTATTAATTACACATCCCGATAAACATTCCTTAACTTTGCTAGGGGAAAGAATTACTGATACTGATCAGAGTTGTGGCCCAACAGCAATTATGTAACAACTGTGATTATAAAGACAGTAGTATAACAGCAGAAGCCAAGGTATGTTTTCAAGTGATCAGACAGCTATTTATATCTATATACTTTATATTCTTTGCCCAATCACTGAGCGTATGATTTCGATTTAAATCAAGCAACATGAAATAGAATGTTCAAATACACATATTATTCTGTTGCTAATGCACTAGTGAATTGTGGGAACAGTATTCAGACGTTAACACCTACAGATACAGTGTTTCTTACTGTGAGAATAATATTCCGCTGGAACCCATTGTCTGTATCACACCACCACAGTAGTACACAGAAAGGCGACATCACTTTTAGAGATCCATTGGAAAACCTGGGAGTACTGGACAGTTGTTTCGTCCTAGTTTGGGACTCTTCAGCACCCACCGCCAGAGTTCAAACCCAAGACCTTCTGGTTGCAAGGCGAGCTTGTATGCCATTATGCCACTGGGACCTGATCCAATGGCCCATGAATTCTACCTTCTGCCAATTCACGACATAGCTCGACCCCAGCCAATGTCTTTGTTATGTATTAGTTTTCCCCGTCGCCAAATTCTTGTGTACTCGTCGCTAAATTGTTGTTGTGGTCTGGTCGAGAAACTAATAGTCCTGACGCAAGAAGGCGGAAATCAGAAGACCACTAGGTTTGCGATGATACTTCTATTGTCCAAACACAAGGAGACGAAAATAAATGGTCTCACACCAAAGTGATGAGTAAGTAAAGTCATTCACACAAATTGTGTGGGCGAAATATATATGACAAGGGTTGAACAATCATTAGACAGTTTTAACATGAATGGCTAATTATAATGAAGTATCGATCCACATATACGTAGCGAAATATAACAGACATGTCAACAATCACCATGTATGGATATATGTCACCAAGCAACGGACTGTCAACAAACACTCATATTATATATAATATAATATAAGGAGAATACACATTATTAAAGGAGACAAGTGAAATGGTCACAGACTAAGCGAGCAAACAGAAAGAGAGACCAACATACACACACACATAAATATATATATATATATATATATATTGGATACATATCACCTCCCCTTTTGAGAAGATGGTGATTAGTAGGATGTTTACCTGGGGGTTTATCTGGAACCTTTGGGCTTGTTGTTGACGTCTGTCGTTTCGTCTGTCTGTTGGGTTTGCGGCTTCGTCCGGAATTGTCTGACATTTTATGCTTCTTGACTGCATTGCGTAGAGAATTTAGTGGGACATCAGCCAGATGCAAACGATCGAACCAATCAAGTCCCAAAAGATTTAAATCACTCTTGGTGACGTAGCAAATTCCTGTGAATTTGGTATTGCGGAAGGAAACAGAACATTTGAGTTCACCAATTAGTTTGAGCCGCCCACCACAGGCGCTGAGAAGAGTCTGGAAAGTATTTGCGATTGGTGGTCTGCCAATATTATTCCAAAGTTTCTCTGATATAACAGTAATATCAGAGGCGGTATCTAGCTGCAGACGTGTATCATGACCATTCATCTGAAGGTCAATATATTTCCGCATAGCTGGTGTTGTGACTTGACAGGTTGCACGTAGACTCAATGATCTTTTTGGAGATTTAGGACCAACCGTTTGTCGAGCTTTTGCTGGATTTTGACATCTGGGTTTGCGTGGCTGACAAAAACCATTTTTATGACCGATGATTTGCACTTGCTGCAACGATGATTTTTGTACGGACAAGACTTTACAAAGTGCCACGCGCCACAATGCCAGCATGGTGATGGAGGGGTCTTCTTTGTAGTATTTTGTGAAGTTGGACGAGTATGTATAGATTTCCGCGGAACATTAGAAGAAGTAGGTGGGTCAGGAGTAGATGATGAGAGAGATTTTTGCTCTTTCGTAATGCACGAATATCAGAGCTTCTCGAAGGTGTTGATTCGACCAGGTGTGTGTCTTTCTGCAGATTAATCAGCCGTTGATATTCATCAGCTATGTCATGTAATGTTAACTTAGGATTTTGTTCTAGCTGATTGAGCAGTCGAGTTCGGATATCTGTGAAACGAGGAGATTGGAGACTGCATATGAGGATCAAGGCTTTGAATTGATCATCTGTTAAGGACCTGAGTCGAAATCTCTCACATTCTCGGTTGACTGTGCCAACGTG